AGGGTTCATGATGAGCGAGTTAATTACGAGTTGATGTAAGTACGATTCGCTTAAAGGGAAGCTAGCTAGCTTTGTCCATTGCCACACACGCTGAGTTTTTCACTGTTAAAGTTAGGCAATGTTTTCCTAAAAGTATTAATGTCCGATGTGAATCCACTGAAGTTAAATGGTTTGTGATGTGCGAAATTTATAAATATTCCTGGTCAAATATCAGAAGTTTTCCGATTGGTAAGTGTTATAACAGTCACAGTTATAGCTTCCAAAGTTTATAGCACACTGACTATATCAAACTAATAACAGATGCTCTCTTTTGGCACATCGCATTGGCTATATTTATAGCCGTGTGGAGGCGTTCTAGAAATTTCAGTCTTACGTAACAAAATAGAATGACATGGCCAAATGTGAAAATCGTTTTGATGGACTGCCAGATCTATCAATAAGTGAACAGCTCATGATCACATGCTGAACTGACATATCACTGTTCCTAAAGGAGAGAGCCCCAAAAGACGTGGACCAGATGATCAAGGTGGAAGAAGAGTATATGGATTCCCTTGGAAGAAGTAGAATGGGCAAGTCCAAGAATATTCAGTTAAATTCAAAAACAGTGATGTCTGACCAGAAACAGGAGTCTACCAAAGGTGACAGGAGATTAACAGATAAATGGGAAAAGACATGCTATATTTGTTATAAAATTGGGCACATTGCAAAGGAGTGCAAGTCCATCACCAACAAGCAACACCAGAAATGTCAGCATAAAGCAACTGGAACTACCTACAAAGATAGTGCTGGTAAGAAACAAGATAAGAGTGACTATCATCATAGATGCTGCTGCCAGAAGAAACAAAATAGAGATAACCCATCAGATTCACCACAAGAAGGAAGTGCTATCTCCATGACTAATCAGTGCACCAGGAAGGAAAAAACAGATAATTATTTGGAATTTTAGATACATCTGTTATATTCCATAGTGTAAAAGATATTTGTACACACGTTTCACTTGTTTTGAATATATATTATTTGAAAACAAGTGGATTGCTGTCCGTTTATGGTTCGAATTTATCGCCAACAAGTCACAGACACCTGCTGTAAAGAATCCAAGCCCATAATCAAACCCTGACAGTTTAATTTATCTGTGATTATATTCTGAAGGTTCATTTATTTAGTAATTAATTTTTTTCAGAGCACTGATGTTTCAATCAAGTTTTATAATAAGAACATCAACAAATACAGAATATTTATCATTAATGAATAAAACCATAACAGACATACAAAACATTAGATGTTAGAAGTCATTCTCACAGATATATATAAAACAGATTTAAACTCAATCGAGACAGGTAACATCTCATGGACAACCAATAGGTCGTTTTCCGTGATTACTTGTTCTTAGCAAAAAAAAATCTTTCATCGATATATTTCCCATCTTTGACTATACGTTGTGTATAACTACCAGCTACTAACTTTCTTAGTAGGCAATGCAAGTCTTGCTATATTTCATTCTAACAATAAAACTAGTGGATGAAGTTGTTTGAAACTTCATAAGATTGTTTTTGTTTGTTTTTGAATTTCGCGCAAAGCTACACGAGGGCTATCTGCTGTCCCTAATTTAGCAGTGTAAGACTAGAGGGAAGGCAGCAATAGTGGGATTGACCGTCACTTATAATGCCCCCACGGCTGAAAGGGCGAGCATGTTTGGTGTGACGGGGATTCTAACCCGCAACCCTCAGATTGTGAGTCGAGTGCCCTGACCACCTAGCCATGCCGGGCTCTTCATAAGAACTTTCATAAATGTATGTAGTTTAAGAAACATAAAGCCTGTTACTTTATTTTTTTGCATTATGATCTTTAATATCTTGGAAAATTACATTAGGAAATGGTATTTATAAGAAATGATTACGATATTTATATTTGTTTCAGATTAGTTTTTATGTTTTAGTACATTATTTTGAAATCCCCAAAAGTTTGTATCGTCCATAAAATGCAAATTTTATCTATTTTTATTTTTTTTAATAATCACGTACTCTCCTTATGGTTTCAAGTAATATACAAGACCCGAAAATAATATTTGTAAATAAACCTAAAGAATAAACGTGTATTTTTATTTTTAACTTGGATTTCATGTTTATATATGTACATAAAAACATTTTAATTTTGTTTCATAAATATATTTTTATTTCAAGTTTATTCTTATGTTTCATTACAGTCGTACTTTTGTTTATTGTGCCGAATAAACCGTGGGGTCAGCAGCGTGAACTTTGTACGTTTTCCGTAAATTATCTCACCCCTATTGGGGGTCTCTCTCGTTCAGCCCAGCGCGGGCGCATTTGAATGTTACTGTAGATATGATAGTAAGAAAGCTTTTCGGTACTTGAATATCATTTCTTTGAACTTTCAAACAAGTTTATTTCAACATATGTCCGTGTATGTTGTTTCACAATAGATACAAAACTAATTGCCACTACTAACGAATGTATGTATCAGTTTACAGTACAGGTGGTTTCAATAACACTGCCTGACCCTACTTACTTGATACATCCTATTAGAAGAGACTACCAAATGATACAGACACCATAAATTACAAAGAAAATTACTTTACAGTACTTAAAAGATTAGT